GGAACTGCATATTTTCTGAGGGTGAGGATAATCGATTATCAAGTTATTGACAATCGATTATGAGAAGTTATGGACTTTGAAGAAGAATCTGCGGACTTCAATAGTCGATTATCAATTAAGGATAATCGATTATTTAGGGGTTCAGAATCAGGATTAGAAGAAAAGAAGGGAAGGCATTATTTGGGTAAAAGGTTTTTGAAAAGACAAAAACAAGAAACAAAGGTTTTGGCTTTTATTTTCGATGAGGGGTTAAAATGGATGGAAAACACTTTATTTTGGATAAAAGAAAAGAAAGAAAACTTTTGGATATATTGGGAGAGTTTGGATTTTGGTGGAGTCATCAAGGGGTACATCAGAGTGGCTGGCCGTGTGAAATGATGGGGGGTTACAAATATTCACTTACTCCGCCAAATAAAAATCAGACCTGAACGGTACGCGCTTTTCCCCCGAATGGGTCCGAATTGAGATCCATTCGCATTTCTGGAATCAGACTGTCAAGACGAATTTAATGATGTGATCAAATAATTTTTCTAAGAACTTTGATTTTCCCCAACTCCGGTTCGAAACAGTAATTAATTTATTACATTAATCAATTCTATTAGACCGGGTTGTAGGGCGTTACAACTATCCACCCCTTAAGAAAATTTCGTCCTCAAAATTTACCTGATCACTGGTCACTGAAAAGATGTGGATAACGAGTGCGCATGGATTCCTCGGTTTCCCATGTCGCCTCCTCAACGGTGTGACTTCTCCACAGAACCTTGACCAACGGAATGGTCTTGTTCCTCAGCTGGCGGGTCTCGCGAGCCAGAATCTCAACCGGCTCTTCTTCATAGGTAAGGTTCTCGTCGAGAGTAACGGTATCTGCGGAAATCACATGTGAAGGGTCTAACCGGTATCTACGGAGCATAGACACATGGAACACATTGTGAATCTTGCCCAACTCAGATGGTAACTCGAGCCTGTAAGCTACAGGCCCCACCCGTTCGATGATTGGGTATGGCCCTATAAACCTGGGACTAAGTTTACTCTTCTTTCCGAAACGTAGGACATTCTTCCAAGGAGATACCTTCAGGAAGACTTTGTCTCCAACTGCATACTCAATGTCATGCCTCTTAAGGTCGGCGTAGGACTTCTGTCAGCCCGATGCCACCTTAAGTCGGTCCTTAATCACCTGGACCTTCTCCTCAGTCTCACGAACTAGATCTGGTCCTTCCAACTTCCTCTCGCTGAGCTCCATCCAACAGGTAGGAGTCCGGCACGGCCTACCGTACAGAGCCTCGTACGGCGCCATACCGATGCTAGCCTGATAACTATTATTGTATGCGAACTCCATCAACGGTAGGTAACGTTCCAGCCACCCCGAAGTTGATTGCGCATGCGCGCATCATATCTTCGAGGATCTGGATAACCCTCTCGGACTGACCGTCCGTTTGCGGGTGGAAGGCCGTACTGAAATGAAGGTCAGAGCCCAAGGCTTTCTGTAGGATCTTCCAAAACTGTGATGTGAAACGTGGGTCGCGATCCGAGATGATAGACGAAGGGACTCCGTGTAAACGTACAATCTCGCGGATGTAAAGCTCCGCCAGCCGCTGTAAAGAGGAATCCCGTCGTATAGGAAGGAAATGAGCGGACTTAGTAAGACGGTCCACAATGACCCAAACTGTATCATTCTTGCGAGGTGATAAAGGTAGCCCCACTACAAAGTCCATAGTGATACGATCCCACTTCCGCTCAGGGATTGTAATCTGCTGTAGTAACCCACTCGGAACCGGATGCTCGGCCTTAACCTGTTGGCAAGTCAAGCACCGCGCCGTAAACTCTGTGATTTCCCTCTTCATCGCAGGCCACCAGTAGTTCGCCTTACCGGGTTGATAAGCAAAGTGGCAGTCGTAGTCCTTAATCAACTCCAACCACCTCCGCTGGCGTAGATTCAAATCCTTCTGGCTCAGAAGATACTGTAGACTCTTATGATCGGTGAATATACAAGTAATGCCTCCAAATCTTTAGAGCAAGAACAATCGTCGCTAACTCTAGATCGTGTGTAGGGTAGTTGCACTCATGCGGCTTCAACTGTCGAGACGCATAAGCTACGACCTTACCCTCCTCCATAAGGACACACCCTAGGCCATTGTGTGAAGCATCGCTGTAAACCGTGTACCCCACTCCAGGAGTCGGCTGTACCAATACGGGTGCCCGGGTCAAACACTCCTTCAGCTTCTCGAAGCTGCGCTGGCAAGCCTCGGTCTAGTCAAACTTCACATCCTTCTTCATCAACTTATGCAGTGGTGATGCTATCCTTGAGAAGTCCTTCACGAATCGGCGATAGTATCCTGCCAACCCGAGGAAACTCCTCACCTCTCGTGCATTGCGTGGAACCTTCCATTCCGTGATCGACCAGATCTTACACGGGTCCACCTTCACTCCTTCGGCCGTGATGACATGGCCGAGGAAGGTGACCTCGTGCAACCAAAACTCACATTTGGACAGCTTGGCATAAAGTTTCTGTTCCCGCAGTATGCTGAGTACTGTGCGCAAATGCCCCGTGTGTTCTTCACGCGTCTTAGAGTACACCAAGATGTCGTCGATGAAAACGACCACGAACTGATCAAGGTACTTACGGAACACACTATTCATCAAATCCATGAAAACAGCCGGTGCATTGGTCAAACGAAATGGCATCACCGTGAACTCATACCATAGCGGGTGCGGAACGCTGTCTGCGGAATATCCTCCTTGACCGGAATCTGATGGTACCCTGACCGCAGGTCAATTTTAGAGAAGATTGTGGCTCCTCTCAACTGGTCGAACAAGTCATCGATGCGAGGAAGAGGATAACGGTTCTTGATAGTGACTTTGTTCAGCTGACGGTAATCGATGCACAACCCCATTGAGCCGTCCTTCTTGCGAACGAACAGGCATGGTGCGCCCCAAGGGGACACACTAGGACGTATGAAACCCTTATCCAAGAGCTTCTGCAGTTGAGCTTTCAGCTCCTTCATCTCCGCTGGGGCCATGCGATAGGGTGTGATGGAGATGGGTACTGTTCCCGGAACCAAGTCGATAGAGAATTCTACCTCCCTCGGGGGAGGTAATCCTGGCAACTCATCTGGAAATACGTCTGGAAACTCGCACACCGTAGGGATTTCCTCCCGT